TTTTAATTTATTTTTTATTTTCTCTTCATATACATTTATATTGCATTTCCAAACAGTTTTTATTTTTTATGTTTTTCTCCATTATTTCAATTTTACCTCTTTAATTACACTTTCAGATTGTTTTACAGATTGTATTTTATTTTTTTCACCTCATATTTCTATTTTCATAGTTTTACAAATTTCGTTCTTTTCTGACTGCATTTCATGGATCACATTCTTTTCACTTCAATCCAAAGGCTCATTAACCAATCAAAATATTAACGCTAATGCTAACGCCCAGCAGATCAATAGAAATGTGTCTTCACTCCTCATTTAAGAGAAAATCCAGCCTCCAGAAATGAAGAGGCTGTGGTCTGGAAAACTGCATTTTCAAAATTAGAAAACTAAAATTAAATCTGCAAAAGAAAAAAAAGTGGAAACAAAATCTGACAAAGCAGCAAAGTTAATCTCAAAACCTATTTTCTAATTAAAATATTTTTCAAATTTTTATTTCAGGGTTGTATTTTCTTTGCTTGCAACATAATGGACCAAAATTCACTCCATATTGTTTCCCCCTGTGGAGCTTTATTCACTGCAGCTAAAGGCCATAAACCAGCCTGATGCAGACGTAGCGGAGCCGCTCACCTACCCTGTCCGCTGCTAATGAAGTCTCTGCAGCCCTGAGCCTGAAGTTCCTCCAGATCTGGACTATGACAGAAATTATTGAGGAGGGCTCCGTACTTCCTCTCTGACAGCAGGGCCACTCGGACTGAGGGCCACAGGTCCCCAAGCTGGGCGCTGTAGGTGGCATCAAAGTGCTGAAGGGCCAGTCTGGTGGGAGGATGTTTGGGAAGTGTGGTAGCCTGTAGGAGATTATAGACATTTGTTATCAGTTGGTGGCAGTAATGCACTTTAAACTGGTTTGCAAACCATAAAACCTCACGATGAGAAGAAGAAGAACCCTTTCTGACTCCATACACTCTTACTTTTATTTGTTATTCAAGATGTTTTTTCCTTCTCTTCCCTCTTGAATAACAGATGAGGTTCTGCCAGTATGGAGAGAAATGTGTTCGTTTTGAAAGTAAAAACACTTTAGATATCAGGACATTTGTAGAAAATAGGTTTTTTTTTTAAAATGAGAAAATTCTCATTCAAAAAAATAAATGTTTAGAGAGTAATTTAGAATAATATAGGTTTAATATGTTCAAATAACTT